GAGTTTGCGTGATGACGGTTTATGCTTCGTTTACGAGATCAGCGAGGTATTGCAGTTCAATTGTGGCAAGCGCTTTGTGTGTCTGTGTGTGTAATGAGTGCGACCTTATTGACGTGTACGTTCGGCAACCGGAAGCCAACGCAACCCGGCAGGCACTGGGCGGGCACAGTCAGATCTTGCAGTAACCCATCATTGTCATCATCATCATCATTGTCATCACCATTGTCATCCTCATTGTCATCACCATTGTCATCACCATTGTCATCACCACTGTCATCACCATTGTCATCACCATTGTCATCATCATTGTCATCACCATTGTCATCACCATTGTCATCACCATTGTCATCCTCATTGTCATCACCATTGTCATCATCATTGTCATCACCACTGTCATCACCATTGTCATCATCATTGTCATCGCTACCATCATCATCATCATCATTGTCATCGCTACCATCATCATCATTGTCATCATCGTTGTCATCATCATTGTCATCACCATTGTCATCACCACTGTCATAACCATTGTCATCATCATTGTCATCGCTACCATCATCATCATTGTCATCGCTACCATCATCATCATTGCCATCATCGTTGTCATCATCATTGTCATCACCATTGTCATCACCATTGTAATCAGCATTGTCATCGCTACCATCATTATCATTGTCATCGCTACCATCATCATCATTGTCATCGCTACCATCATCACCTTTGTCATCACCATTGTCATCACCATTGTCATCACCACTGTCATCACCATTGTCATCATCATTGTCATCGCTACCATCATCATCATCATCATTGTCATCGCTACCATCATCATCATTGTCATCGCTACTATTATCATCATTGTAATCATCATTGTCATCACCATCATCATCATTGTCATCATCATTGTCATCACTATCATCATCATTGTCATCGCTACCATCATCATCATTGTCATCGCTACCATCATCATCATTGTCATCACCACCACCATCATCATTGTCATCGCTACCATCATCATTGTCATCATCACCATCATCATCATTGTCATCACCATTGCCATCATTGTCATCACTATCATCATCATTGTCATCACCATCATCATAATTGTCATCGCTACCATCATCATCATCATTGTCATCATCATCATCATTGTCATCACCATTGCCATCATTGTCATCTCTACCATCATCATCATTGCCATCATCATCATCATCATTGTCATCACCATCATCATCATTATCATCGCTACCATCATCATCATCATTGTCATCATCATCATTGTCATCACCATTGCCATCATTGTCATCTCTACCATCATCATCATCATTGCCATCATCACCGTCGTCGTCATTGTCATCACCGATGCACGCTGTCCACGCCGCAGCCCGGTCGTGTTTTTGCCAGACGTCCCGTAGAGCAGCGAGTCGCAATAATCGAGCCTCGTCGATGCAACGCTTTACGCACGCCACCGTGACGGCCGGTCGAATCCAACGCGCTCGCGCAGCCTCGAGCAGGGCCGCGAGGCTCCACGGGGCGCCAGGAAGCCCTGAGCGGCACAAAAACTTCCCCGCCTCGCATGAACAAAAATTTTCACTTTTTTGTATTTTTGTACAACTCCCTCGTAATGAAAATGCCTCGGCGGGTGAAAGGGGCTTCGTGGTGACACTCGCTTGCCGTGGCGGAGCCAGGATTTTCAGGTATGGGGGGGGGGGGGGGGGCAACCCCTCCAGCAATTAAAAATTATAGTTGTTGTTAGTAAGTAGGGAGTTGTTAGTGAGTAAAGAGTTCATATATTCTTAGTTTTTTCGGTAAAGTCACGTTGAAGGGAAACAACAAAATAATAAAATGTTACTTTGAAGGGATAATAAAATATAGTTTATATATATTTTATTATTTTGTTGTTTCCCTTCAACGTGACTTTACCGAAAAAACTAAGAATATGAATTACTGCAGTCACGAAAGCTTTAAATCAAAAAGAGTAAGGAGTTGTTGGTATTTTGATTTAAAGCTTTCGTGACTGCAGTAATTCATATTCTTAGTTTTTTCGGTAAAGTCACGTTGAAGAGAAACAACAAAATAATAAAATATATATAAAACAAAAAAATTCTCACGACGTTTCGACCATAACTCAAGCGGTCATCTTCAGGTGTGTTGGTTTGCATACATTTTTATAAATAAATAAATGCGCCGTTTAAAAATTAATTTATGCAAACCAACACACCTGAAGATGACCGTTTGAGTTATGGTCGAAACGTCGTGAGAATTTTTTTGTTTTATATATATTTTATTATTTTGTTGTTTCTCTTCAACGTGACTTTACCGAAAAAACTAAGAATATGAGTTGTTAGTAAGTAAGGACTTGTTAGCAAGTAAGGACTTGTCCCTTGCTTTTTATCCGACGCGTGTGCGGCGATGGAGCAGCCATCGATCGAGGGTCGAATTGGAACCACGTTGTGTGATCGCCATCGCGCTCGCTGAAGGTGTCGATGCCTTCAGGGAAGTCGTGTACTGTGTATGCAACTGCGCACAATTCTGTGAGTCGCTTATAACCGCTTTGCCGTTACTTATTGTCAATTATGGACTCAGACTATTGTCCTATCATCTCATAGAGTCCCTGGCACGTTGATAATATGCTACACAGTGGCAGTGGGGGTCGCAAAATGCCGATTTATTACTAATAAACCCCAATGATCCGATCGAAATTAGGGATTTCGATTGGATCATTGGGGGGGGGGGGGGGCATGTGCCACCCCACCCACCCCCCCCCCCCCCCCCCCCCACTGGCTCCGTCACTGCTCACTTGCAGTTGAGCCTGGGACAAAGCCATTCGGGCCGCTGGCCAATATTATCCATAATAGAGGGTTTTGGGTTAGATCGCGTTAAATATCAATGTGTTTGCTCTCCAGCAGACCGGTTGTGCTGTATCGGTAACGAATTGGCACGTTTTGTTGGCGTGACAAACCTTACTAGTTGGCTGTGTCGGGTGGTGGCGGGTTTCAGGACACGTTTATGTACTTACGTGATCTAACCCAAAAAAAAACATCTATGATGCATCCGCCGGTCGTCCAAAGTTTCCACAACCGCGTTTCCACAGCCGTTTAACTGGTCGCATTTTACCGCGTCCAAAAATTACTTCTAAAAGAAGAAAGACATCTCCTTGCACGCGCGGTTCATTGCATTCGTTCCAGAAAACCCAAGTACGCTAATTTATCGCAACGTGGGCGAATGACCATTTCATGATATCACCGCCTTAATAATCTTTAATGATCGGTCTTACACAACCTCCAGACTGTTTTTATTGTAACTTGAAGTAGTCTGGTAATCATCTTGCCCGCTGAATTAGCCCCCCCCCCACCCACCCATCCATCCACCCTCTTTTCTTGTCCGAAGCCATTCATTGAAGACAGGAACCATGTGTGAGGGCAACGGACGCCCATCGCATTGACTGGTGAAATCACACATGGAAGCATCCGACATGCCCCCTGTTGAAGCTCAGGGCTTCAACAGGGCACCCAGTGGCGTGGGTACTGAGTGTGTAGGCGGTGCAACTGCACCCAAGGTCCACCAGTTTGCCGGGCAACGAAGAGTGGATTGGTGGTTGTTTCGGTTATTTCGGTAAAGTTACGGCAAAAGAAAAAAAATGTAATGAGAGGATACGACGTTTCGATTTCAACACAAGCAGTCGTCATCAGGTAGAACTACATTTGAGAGAGGGAGAGACAAAACGCAGACACGGAGACACACAGACAGACACACAAGCAGAGAGAGAGAGACAACACAGAGACACACAGAGAGAGACGCACAACATAGACACACAGAGACATACAAGCAGAGAGAGACACACACAGAGACACACAGACAGACACACATAGACACACAGAGACACACAAGCAGAGAGAGACACACAGACACACAGAGAGAGAGACACACAACATAGACACACAGACACACAACATAGACACACAGACAGACACACAAGCAGAGAGAGAGAAAACAGAGAGAGAGACACAAGCATAGAGAGACACACACAGAGACACACAGAGAGAGACACTCAACATAGACACACAGAGATTGACACACAGAGAGAGAGACAAGCAGAGAGAGACACAAGCAGAGAGAGACACACACAGAGACACGCAGAGAGAGACGCACAACATAGACACACAGACAGACACAAGGAGAGAGAGAGACAACACAGAGACACACAGAGAGAGACGCACAACATAGACACACAGAGACACACAGAGAGAGACAACACAGAGACACACAGACAGACACACAACATAGACACACAGACAGACACACAAGCAGAGAGAGACAACACAGAGACAAAGAGAGAGAGAGACGCACAACATAGACACACAGAGACACACAAGCAGAGAGAGACACACACAGAGACACACAGACAGACACACAACATAGACACACAGAGAGACACACACACAGAGACACACAGACAGACACACAACATAGACACACAGAGAGAGACAACACAGAGACACACAGAGAGAGACGCACAACATAGACACACAGAGACACATAGTCTCTCCTGCCAGTGGGCGTTCGATACCTCACATGGGCTGAAAGTCCACATAGCCTGGCACAAGCGCGCGGTGATGTCACCGCTACTTAATGACGAATGGCGACTGTGTTCTTGCCGTATACGTTCGCTACGAACCCGGCAAACCGAGTTCGAGTCCCGCACACTGCCAACATCAGTGACGAATATCTGAACCGGTCCTGGGCATCCCCTAGGCCGACTCAGCCTCAAATGAACACCTGTTGCGGTGTGTAAACATCGCCACTGGGGAGACAAAGGCGGCCGGGAGTAGTTGCTGGCCACCCACCCCCTCTCGTGCCACAGTGCCGGCCTTCACAGGTGCTGCTATTCGCTAACAGCAACTTGCCCCAACAGCCTGTCCAGGCCGTACCATGGGAGGGGGGGGGATCTTCGTCTTTGTGCGTGTATAGGCGTGCGTGCAAAAGCGAGGTGGCCGCACCTTTCATCCGGTCGAGGTGCCGCTGGGGCACAGCGGCGAAGGCCTTGTTGGTGGGGGCGAAGATGGTGTACTCGCCGGGCTTACTGAACAGGTCCCCCATGTCCGCTCGCTTGATCAGCTCCACCAGGATGCTGCGGACAAGAGCAGGGAGGCACGGCCCTCATACGTTGAGTTCAATGCACAACCCCTGTGGTTAAATTGTTCAGTGTACAACCCCCTGGGTTTGAATTGTTCAATGTACAACCCCTGGGTTTAAATTGTTCAGTGTACAACCTCTGGGTTTGAATTGTTCAATGCACAACCCCTGTGGTTAAATTGTTCAATGTACAACCCTGGGTTTAAATTGTTCAATGTACAACCCCTGTGGTTAAATTGTTCAATGTACAACCCCTGTGGTTAAATTGTTCAATGTACAACCCTGGGTTTAAATTGTTCAATGTACAACCCCTGTGGTTACATTTTTCAATGTACAACCCCTGTGGTTAAATTGTTCAATGCACAACCCCTGTGGTTATATTGTTCAATGTACAACCCCTGTGGTTAAATTGTTCAATGTACAACCCTGGGTTTAAATTGTTCAATGTACAACCCCTGTGGTTAAATTGTTCAGTGTACAACCCGGGGGTTAAATTGTTCAATGTACAACCCCTGTGGTTAAATTGTTCAACGCACAACCCCTGTGGTTAAATTGTTCAATGCACAGTCCTGAAATTAAATTGTTCAATGTACAACCCCTGTGGTTAAATTGTTCAATGTACAACCCCTGTGGTTAAATTGTTCAATGTACAACCCCTGTGGTTAAATTGTTCAATGCACAGCCCTGGATTAAGTTTGTTGAATTATAATAATAACCTCTACTTTATGAAGTACCTTTCATACTGAAGTATCTCAAAGCGCTGTACATGAAAGCAAAACTGCACTCACAAATATAGGTCAAATCTAAGCGACATTGAAAACTCTGATAGTAACAATATCACTGACGACTCTCGACATTCCAAGAAATTTACGAACTATGATAAAAACGCAAATACTAATTGCAGAGTAAATACACTCAGACAACAGGATAATATATTGTTTTAAGTTACACGGAAAGCCCACGAGTATAAATCGGTGAGTTTTAAAGACAGCGATCTGATAAAATGACACAGGCTCGGAATAATCGTGAATGGACCGAGGAAGGAGATTCCACAATCGCAAAGCCCTGGCTGCAGAGGGCTCCGTTGTCCACCATTGGACAGCAACATCACAGTCTTCTTGTCTTTGGAATGACGGGTAGGCCAGGATGAGCTGATGTAAGTTTTCACAGTGGTGCATGTAAAACTTCAGCAGATAAGGGGTGATAAATTTAGGAGCCCGGGCCATTCAAGGCCTTGAACACGAGAAGCAGAATCTTAAACTCGATTCTCTGTACTTCACAGACGTCTTTGAAATGACGAGAAGGCCAGAATCAGCTGATGTAAGTTTTCACAGCGGTGCATGTACAACTTAAGCGGATAAGGAGTGAGGAATTTAGGCGCACAGGCCATGCAAGGCCTTGAACGCGAGTAGCAGAATCTTGAAGTTGATTCATCCGTACTTTTTCAGGGAAGCCAGTGCAGGGACGAAATAATCGGAGTGATGCGGCACACGATTTAGATGTGGTTCAAAACCCGGGCAGCTGAGTTTTTAATATATTCAAATCTACTTAAAACACTTTTATAAATGCAAGCAAGCGAGGCATTACAGTCATCCAACCTAGATGAACTGAAGGCATGCACCAGCCTCTCAGCATCAGGAAGGGACAGCGTAGATCTCGGTCGAGCCGTGTTGCGCAAATGAAAAAATATATATAAATATATATATTTTTGGGTATTATTACGAACGTGAGCTTCAAATGTCAAACTGCGCTGTAAGGATAACACGCACGTTTCTGACCTCAGAGGAAGAACAAATTCCAGTCCCGTCTATGGCCATACTAAAACCATCCATAGGAGGTTTTTTTTTTTTGCGTTAGATCGCTTAAATATGAATGTGTCTCATATTCTTATCTCTTTCGGTAAAGTCACGTTAAAGGGAAATAATAATATATATATAAAACAATAACAAATTCTTATGACGTTTCGACCATAACACAAACGGTCACCTGATGAAGAATATGAATTACTGCAGTCACGAAAGCTATAAATCAAAATTTATGAATGTGTCGTTTAACCCGCCTCCACCCGACACAGCCAATTAGTAAGGTTTGTCACGTAAACGTGTCAATTCGCGACTAGTTCAGCACACCGGTGTGGTGGAGAGTAAATTGACAACATCTTGCTGGTAATTACAACCAGCATCATTAGGCGACAAGAAGAGTTAACCCCAAAAACCTCAATTATGAATGATATTCGTCGCGAAATACCTACGTGTTAAGGCCATCCAATTTATGCGCTCGATGTGGAGAGGCCAACAACACGATCCCCTGGTCTCATCACAATTTAATTCAAGACGACGTACATAGTAAGCAGACTGAAACCTTGGCATCAGTCACGGTCTCGAGGTCAATCTGCGAGTCGTCGGCATAAGATTGCCAATGTAAGCCGTGACGACGAAAAACGCGGCCAAGCGGTAGCATATACGGGCGGAACAACAGAGGCTGTGCGTGATGATTGAACGAATGAAGTCATCCATCAACCCTCCAAGTGACGTCGTTCGGGTCAAGCAACCAATTATTTCGTTTTAATTTCGACACGAGCCCCCTAACAAAACACCGGTAACAGTACAAAGCGATAGGGGGGGGGGGTCCCCCCAAGCCTCCCACTTAATTATTCTTTCCAGTCAACACGGGGTCTTTAAAAATTCGCTTGCGGCCCGATCGATAATTGGGGTTTTTGTTGCGGGCTAAGATCGCGTCGGTACAACGTCGATTATCCCTCCGCCGCCGGTCGCGGCCAAACAAATCGAGTGTCAGCCACATGGGCAATTGTGCCATTTGATTTTGTCTTCGGAAAACCGGAAATGTTTCAATGCAAGTACTTTTTTTTTCTTTACAATTTTGTGAATTCCGTATCTGTGTATATAAAAAATAACACTTCCGAGGAGAGATATCAGTTGGACGGCATTTCCGAAGCGGTACATATGCATTATCGTTGGTCCTTGTTTGTCAATGCCTTCATACGCGAGGGCTTGGATGTCTGTTTCGGTGCCCGCTGAATCAAATGAATGCTCACAATCGATACTCAAACGCCAAGCGTAATGGCATTCGAGATGAATTTGTCTTGTCTTGGATTTGACTGATAGCGTGTCACGTGGCCAATGGATGACAAAGCCTTCCCTGAGCCCTGCTTGATCGCTCACGCTTGGCTGGCCTCTAAAACGTCCATAATTTCAGCTCCCTGAGATCCGTGCGAAGAATTTATACATTGCTTTTGTTGGGCTTCGCGCAAGTAATTTGTTTCGGTTTTTAGCTCCGGTTAGTTTGCACTTTCCCCTCACCCTGCGATGTCCTGCGACGGCCACCCACTGCCGACGTTTCTCTCGGGCTGTGGTCGCCCATGCGACGGAGCCGCTGATCTCAATGGGTCCTTACCAGCTGAAATAAAGCCCGAGTCTGAATCTGACCCGTTGAGTGTCCATGTAACCCTGTGCGTCTCTGTGTAACTCTACGTAACTGCGATGTCCTGTGGCTGCCTTAACTGCCGATGGTCTTGGGGTGCGGTCGTCCTTGCGACGGAGCCGCTGATCTCAATGGGTCCTTACCAGCTGAAATAAAGCCCGAGTCTGAATCTGACCCGTTGAGTGTCCATGTAACCCTGTGCGTCTCTGTGTAACTCTACGTAACTGCGATGTCCTGTGGCTGCCTTAACTGCCGATGGTCTTGGGGTGCGGTCGTCCTTGCGACGGAGCCGCTGATCTCAATGGGTCCTTACCAGCTGAAATAAAGCCCGAGTCTGAATCTGACCCGTTGAGTGTCCATGTAACCCTGTGCGTCTCTGTGTAACTCTACGTAACTGCGATGTCCTGTGGCTGCCTTAACTGCCGATGGTCTTGGGGTGCGGTCGTCCTTGCGACGGAGCCGCTGATCTCAATGGGTCCTTACCAGCTGAAATAAAGCCCGAGTCTGAATCTGACCCGTTGAGTGTCCATGTAACCCTGTGCGTCTCTGTGTAACTCTACGTAACTGCGATGTCCTGTGGCTGCCGCAACTGCCGATGGTCTTGGGGTGCGGTCGTCCTTGCGACGAAGCCGCTGGGCTCAATGGGGCCTTGCCGGCTGAGATGCAATGGTGGAAAAATGTTCGGTCCCGATCCTGACACCTGCTGTTGTATATTTGGATTCTGCGTCTCTCTCTCTCTCTCCCCGTGGTCTCGTGGATTTTTCTCCGGGTCCATCGGTTTCCGCCCCGCCCCCCCCCCCCCCCCCCCCCCACCTCCACATTTAGAATCAACGTCACGCTTTTAGAGTATTTGGCTGCTATTAATTTACAAATGATGGTAAGCCACTTTGTTGAGCGATCATTTGTGGTGGCCAGGTCGCTTCTGAAAAGAGCTGCATAGCTCAGTGGGGGCCTTACCTGGTGAAATAACAAATTGTTTGGTAGTTTAGTTTAGAGTCTGAATCCAAGATATAAAGATACACAAGATAAACTGTAGCGAAACAGTGAACTCGAAACTGACTTACTCCTTAAATTTTGATTTAAAGCTTTCGTGACTGCAGTAATTTATAATCTTAGTTCTTTCGGTAAAGTCACGTTGAAGGGAAACAACAAAATAATAAAATATATAAAACAATAAAAATTCTCACGACGTTTCGACCATAACACAAACGGTCGTCTTCAGGTGTGGTCGAAACGTCGTGAGAATTTTTATATATATTTTATTATTTTGTTGTTTCCCTTCAACGTGACTTTACCGAAATAACTAAGAATATGACTTACTCCTTATTGGACTTATTATATGATCCTGCCTCCTGCCGTAAGTCGAATGGCGCCTGAATTAATCGCGAAGATGGTCTCGGCGTCCGTGCCAGATGTTTTGACGCGCTTGCGTGATGTTCATGAACCGCGATTGAACGTGTGCCGTCTCGCTTGCAACACGTGTGCAAATGTGACATCCCTTAGTAGAAACATCCACGGAGCTGCTCAGAGCCTACAACGCCAATCCAAAGATCCTCTTCTCGTTTTTGTTTTTCTCTCTACGTGACTTTACCGAAACAGCCAAGAATATGAATTCCTGCAGTCACGAAAGTTTTAAGTCGAAAACATTGTTTTTTTATTTAAAGCTTTCGTGACTGCAGGGATTCATATTCTTGGTTCTTTCGGTAAAAGTCACCGCGTAGAAGGGAAACAGTAAAATAATAAAAATATAAAACAGTAAGATTCTCACGACGTTTCGACTGCAACACAAGCAATCATCAGTTTAACACGTAGGTTTTCGCGACCAATATTATTCATAATAAAGGTTTTTGGGTTAGATCGCGTTATTTATAAATGTGTCGTAACCCTCCACCACCCGACACGGCCAATCAGCAAAAAAAGTGTCACGTTGACAAAAGACAAATAATTCACTACTTTAGCCCACCGGTGTGTTGAAGAGTGAATCCACAACATTTACAGTTTGAGTACTGTGACGTTTCGCTGGTAATTACATCCAGCATCATCGGGCAAATACCGGTGGGCTAAAGTAGTGAATTATTTGTCTTTTGTCAACGTGACACTTTTTTTGCTGACTGGCCGTGTCGGGTGGTGGAGGGTTACGACACATTTATAAATAACGCGATCTAACCCAAAAACCTTTATTATGAACAAGCAATCATCATCAGGTGTAAAAACCACAGTAAGAAAATTTTGAAAAATTTGAATTTTTTTCTTGCTGTGGTTCTCACACCTGATGATGATGATTGCTTGTGTTGCAGTCGAAACGTCGTGAGAATTTTATTTTTTTAAATATTTTTATTATTTTACTGTTTCCCTTCTACGCGGTGACTTTACCGAAAGAATCCAAAAAAAATATTCTAAGCCCTTGTGTTTTGGCCCGAACCGAATGTTCAAACGCTGCAACCCTCCCCTCGTGTGAGTACACTTTGATCTCCCCATCAAAGTGCCACTGCTCTCTGCTCGCTGATCATATTCAGGACGGGTCCGGACCACTCGTGTCCAAGTAATTCCCCAACGCCGCAGCGTGGTAATGCCCTTTCTTTTTTTTTTATCTTTCCAGCAGCCTTGACATGAATCGCCGCTCCTCCGTCGTTTCCGAATCGCCGAACTCCGTAGCACCTTGGCACGCACGCACGCACCCACGCACAAAGCGCTAGCTGCACGTCAACCGCAATTGCTTGCCGATCTCGTCGAGGGGCATGAAGCCATCGCCACGCGAACTCCGGTTGACATCCTCGCAGCGGCGGCGGCTTTTGGCTTTTGGCTTTTGGCTCGGCCGTCGAACGCAGACGGCGCTAACCGCATCATCGGGCCGCTTTCAAGACGCGCTTCTATGGCCGTCTGGAACGCTCTTCCTTCCGATATTAGGATGCCACTGGAGCTATGCAATTTTTAAATCATCTGCATTGACGACGAATTTCTTTCGAACTGAATTTTTTGTGCTTAGCTTGTTGTCCTTCCGCAGCACCTCCGATTAGCACGGTTGACTATGCACGGTGCAAAAGAAGTTCAACGTACGTACAAACATGCGTACGCACGTACGTGCATACCTACGTACGCAGTACAAATATACGTACGCACGTACGTACAAACATACGTACAAACGTACGTACAAACATACGTACGCACGTACAAACATACGTGCGCACGTACGTACAAACATACGTACGCACGCACGTACAAACATACGTACGCACGTACGTACAAACATACGTACGCACGTACAAACATACGTACGCACGTACAAACATACATACGCACGTACGTACAAACATACGTACGCACGTACAAACATACGTACGCACGTACGTACAAACGTGCCGTGTGGGAGTCGTGCCTATTGCGTCTCGTTAAACATCAACTTTGGTTCGGTTGTCGCCAGTCGTGAACGCAGGCTGATGGTTTTAAATTTTTAGCACAACGACTCCCAGCGGGGCAGAAGCTTTTAGATGTGACAAAATCCAGAATGTGGAAAACAAAAATATATATATATTTTTTAATCATATAAATGTTGTAGTTGAGAATGTTAGAACTACAACATGGCAAAGTCATCACCCTTAACCATGCCTGCTAATAAAATATTAATCAGCGATGCTGCTGCCGCATTGGTTGCTGGTGCACAAAGCACAAACAGCACAAACAAACTCAGCGCATTTGTCAATAACACTTGTGGCCTTTAACATGGCAAAGCCATCACCTCCGGTTACCACGTTTGGCTGCGTACCGCGCGAAAGAAGTTCACCATGCGTACATAAAATCGTAACTCGCTGACCCACCTTCCCCCCCCACCCCCCACCCCTCTTCCTCATACTGGACATTTGCCGAAAAAGAGCTTCTTAGCTCATTAGATTCCTCCAGCTGTCCAAAATAAAGACTCCGATTCTGATTCGGTTCGGCGCCACCGCCCCCAAACCTCCTTGGCGAGACTCGGGAACGGCCGCGAGATGCTGGACTGCCCGGTTGAAGCCCACTTCCCGTAGAATTTACCGGAACAAAAAATACCGGCATAAAAAATGGGGGTGAGGGGGGTGGGGGTGGGTGGGTGGGAGTTCATTGACTGAGCGTTGGAAGGTAAAAAGCACCTCTGCAGGAATGCCTACCTAGCGTGCGAGCGTACCTTGGAAGCGCACTTTACCTACATGTGGCAACGCTTCCCACGCAAGACCCTGGGCAATGACTTCCACGGCGTTTTCTGGGCGCAGTCCGAACGCACGCGGGGAGGGAAAGGAAAAACCCACAAAAAATCCATAAAAAACCCCACAAAAAAACCCCCAATTAGACTTCCCCTCCCCACCCCCCCCCCTGCCTCCCGGCGTTCTGCCCAGACGAGTGAGTCGTCGGATCAAATCGCAAAGCACATCGGTGTGCCGGCTCCAGTTCCATCGTATTCCGGCAAGACGCGAGAACCCCCCACCCCCCCCCAGCCACTCCGCCCACCGGCCCAGAATTTCCAGCCGCGCAAATATGCGCAGCTGCGGTCGCAATCATCATCGTCGCCGCGATGATCGTCGTTGCCGCCGGTCGCCGTCTTCACCTGAGGTCAGCGTCTTCCTGCAGCGTCTGCCACGTGCTCTTGTCGGGGACCATGAGGATCTTGGACATGACGTGGACCAGCCCGTTGCGGCCGTCCTTGCCCACGGAGGCGATGCACGAGTTCTCCACGCAGATGGCCTGCCCGGACACGCGCACGCACGCTCACCGCGATCAACAATAATATCAATCGCCACCAGCGCCGTCACCGCGCGTCCTCCGCGCGGATCGCGCCGCCCAGACGCGCCGCGCACCGCCCACCGTCGTCAACAATTCAGAGTTTGTGTGCGACGTACGCAGCGGCGTCCGGGAAGTTCACAATCCTCTCGATACAAAGAGCCCGTTGGGGAACGGCGAGGATATTTTTTTTGCCCGGCCCCAGGGCCGTTCACCCGACGCTGGTGGTGGGAGCGGGCGGGGGCGGGGGGGGGTGGACGACGACGACAGAACGAAGCCTTCTCGAGCGCACCGCCAACAATCTGAAACTCCACCGCGCTGCCTGCCTGCGCACCGGACGTCCTGAACGCGCCGAGCGTCTCTTGGTTCCGCGGTCCGCGCAAAGACGACGCGCCTGCTCGGACTCGCCTTCCCATACGACAGCATTTCTTTTTTTATTTTTACACGTTCAAAAAAAAAAGGACTTCCTCTTTACCTTGCCATCGACTTTATTTATTCGTATTTGCTACCTTACCTCCCTTGTGCTATTCATTGCACGCGGTTGCACGTTTATTATCGCCGCGCAGTTGCAATTTACTCTGCATGGTCGGTTATTAGGCCGCCGCGGTCGTGTGACGGAGTCTCCGTCTTCAGCGCGGTTGCTCCATGCCCCCCATCCCGTACCGTACCGTTCCCGCTCCGCTGTAGTGTGCCCCGATCCCCACTTTATTGAGGGTGATATTGGCACGTAAGAAAAAAAGGTCGATGGATCGATTGAAATCGTGGAACCTCCTGTGCCAGTATCAAAGTATGAGAATACGTTTTTCCCCTTTTATCTGGCAACAAAACGGCTGTGTTAAGTTGTTAAAACACCAAACTGAAACCTTTTACAAAGGAATCATGTCTGCATTAACCACGATGCTTGTGGTCACAATGTACGCCTTTTGGCGTCCTCTGGTCTAACACCGTTTGAGACGAGGCTCAAAAGAAAGCTGTCTCTGGTGTGAACCAATCAGTTTCAAAGACAATGCACCATATATTGTCAGGGTATGTTTTTTTTTGTTTGTTTGCATTTTGACCACAAGTATTGTAGTTAATGCAGACACGATTCCTCGTAAAAGGTTTAAGTTTGGTGCTTGAACAACTTAACGCGGCAGTTTTGTTGCCAGATAAAAGGGGGAAAACCTATTCTCATGATCGATTGACCTTCGGGCAGCGTGAAGCATCGGCCTGAAGCAGCTGTGAAACTCATCGAGGCTTTCCTGCGTTATTCACGAATGAATAAAATGTTACAATACTTTATTGTAAACGAAGACTTCGCTATGTATGTATGTATGTTGAACGTCTTTCACACCGTATGTAGCCCAACCGCGCTAATTGGAGGTGCGGTGGAAGGAAAAAAAAACGAAACACCAGAACAAGCAGTTGTAAAAAAAATGTTTCTTTCAATCTAGATGATTTAAAATCGGCTTTGTCACTAACGCTGCGCTGTGCGCGGTCAATTCGCTGTCGTCCCGCTATGCGTGCGTGCATGCATCTCGGGTCAGCTACGCTGTTGTCTATGAAGACAAATCGACACGATGACCCAGATTTAAGCTCAGCTCGTAAAAGTAACAAAAAATAAACTCAATATCTATTCTCAAGACCGGGGTCTTAAAACGTGACCTTGGAAGAGTTTGAAACGGCTATGAAGACATCTGAAACCCGGCAAGGTGGCAGAGGGCAGGGGAGGCTTGTATCGCTGTCGAAATGTTGAGAGGCGGGGTCTGGCGAGATGTTAACTACCTCGCCCGGTATACAGGAGGTCGTGGCTTCCATCCCGACCCTGATGCCTGCTGCTGTATATTTGGAGTTTGCGTGTCTCTCTCTCATCATCATCACGGTGGCTAGGAGATGTTAACTACCTCACCTGGTATACAGGAGGTCGTGGGTTCCATCCCGACCCTGATGCCAGCTGTATATTTGGAGTTTGCGTATCTCTCTTTCTCTCTCATCATCATCACGGTGGCTAGGAGATGGTAACTACCTCGCCTGGTATGCAGGAGGTCGTGGGTTCCATCCCGACCCTGATGCCTGCTGTATATTTGGAGTTTGCGTGTCTCTCTCTCTCTCATCATCATCACGGTGGCTAGGAGATGTTAACTACCTCGCCTGGTTTACAGGAGGTCGTGGGTTCTATCCCGACTCTGATGCCTGCTGTATATTTGGAGTTTGCGTGTCTCTCTCTCTCTCATCATCACGGTGGCTATGTGATGTTAACTACCTCGCCTGGTATGTCGGAGGTAGTAGGTTCGACCCAGACCCTGACGCCTGCTGCTGTATATTTAGGAGTTTGCGTGTCTCTCTCTCCCCGTGGTAGTGTGGATTTTTCTCTGGGCCCTCCGGTTCTTACCTCCACGTTTATAATCAACGTCACGCGTTTAGCGTATTTGGCTGCAAAAAATATCCACACGATTATAAGACACCTCGTTGAAACTATCATTTGTGATGGCCAGGTCGCTTCTGAAAGAGAGCTACATATTCTTGGTTCTTTCGGTAAAGTCACGTTGAAGGGAAACAATCAAAGAATAAAATATATATATAAAACAATACAATTCTCACGACGTTTCGACCGCAACACAAGCAGTCATCATCAGGTGTGAAAACCAACGGCAAGAACATTTGAAAAGCAACGGCAAGAACATTTGAAAGAAGTCACTTCTTTCAAATGTTCTTGCCGTTCGTTTTCACACCTGTTGATGACTGCTTGTGTTGCAGTCGAAACGTCGTGAGAATTTTATTGTTTTATATATATTTTATTATTTTATTGTTTCCCTTCAACGTGACTTTACCGAAAGAACCAAGAATATGAATCACTGCAGTCACGAAAGCTTTAAATCAAAAGAGAGCTCCATAGCTCAGTGGGCCTTACACCTGCTAACATAAAAGAAATAGTTACAGAGTTTGATGAATAGTTTCACATCAGGAGTACGCGGACAGAGGCAACAGTTGCCACGGGCCTACGGGGAAAAAAAGGACCATCGTAGCATTACGTAAGGAGAGTCTTTGGTAACTCCAGAGGGACGCATTTACTGGGCATTCCTGGGAGATGTTTTGCCAGAGTTTTGATGAATGGAACCAAAACAAGCGAGACAGAAGAGGACTTCAGGGAAAAGCAGTGTGGGTTAAGTGCAGGGAGGGAGACATAGACAAAGCCAGGCAAAGGAAAGCCGGGAATGCATGCGGGGTCGTTATAATTGAATTTGCAGCCTTCATTAAAAGCAAGTGCGTGTGCGTGTGTGTGTGATTGTACGCATTTGCTGGTGAGCGGTGGTGTAGCGGTCAGCGCGCTGCCCTACGGACCTGGCGACCCGGGTTCGATTCCCGCTCACGGCTAACACTGGTGACGATTGTTTGAACCGGTCCTGGGCGATCCCCTAGGTCGACTCGGCCTCAAATGAGTACCCGGTGCGGTGTGTAAACATCGCCACTGGGGAGACAAAGGCGGTCGGGCGTGGTGCTGGCCACCCACCCCCCCGTGTACCGTTCCGGCCTTCATAGGTGCTCGCGAACAGCACTTGCCCCTACAGTCTGTTAAGGCTACACGGGGGATATTTGTCTCTGTATATATGTACGTTGGCACAATAGGGGGCACAGGTGGTGCATCGGCCAGTCATCTCAGTCAGTAGACCCGTGGCACCTGGGTCTGCCCGGTGACCTCCTGCCAGCGGGCGTTCGACACTTCACGTGGCCTCGACGCGCACATAGCCTGGCACAAGCGACGTGGTGACGTCACCGCCACTAAGTGGCGAATGGCGGTTGCCGTCGTTGTCATTGTATACATGTATGAATGCGAAGACGAGAGCCACGAGAAAGTCCGAGGCCTCTGATGGCGTGCCACGTGAGAGCTTTTGGTTCGGGGGAATGTCACCGTCGTCCGTAAATCAGTCAATGTGTCAACTCTACCCAAACGTTCCGGTGGCTTTTAATGCGCCGCACGGCAAAGTGACAGCCTCCACTGTGATGTGCCGACGTTGGGCTGACGTGGGGCCAACGTTGGGCCGACGATCCCAGGCCCCGTGAAGACTGAGCACGTTCTATAAGCTTCTCTGGAGTGTACGTTGGACTTCTTTCACACCGTACGTAGCCAATCGTGCTAATCGGAGGTGCAGCGGAAAGGGCAACAAACCAAACAGAAAAAGCAGTTTCGATTTAAAGTTTTCGTGACTGCAAGGATTCATCTTCTTTGGTTCTTTCGGTAAGGTCACGTAGAATGAGAATAAAACATAGCCATTTCTGTGACCAGTCACAAGCTAATCCCTCAGCTATTTCAATGCTAAATTCTCCCGTTTGATTTGTACCAGGTGCCTCTGCGGATGTGTAGGCTTTGACTTTAACATAGCCATTTCTGTGACCAGTCACAAGCTAATCCCTCAGCTATTTCAATGCTAAATTCTCCCGTTTGATTTGTACCAGGTGCCTCTGTGGATGTGTAGGCTTTGACTTTAACATAGCCATTTCTGTGACCAGTCACAAGCTAATCCCTCAGCTATTTCAATGCTAAATTCTCCCGTTTGATTTGTACCAGGTGCCTCTGTGGATGTGTAGGCTTTGACTTTAACATAGCCATTTCTGTGACCAGTCACAAGCTAATCCCTCAGCTATTTCAATGCTAAATTCTCCCGTTTGATTTGTACTAGGTGCCTCTGTGGATGTGTAGGCTTTGACTTTAACATAGCCATTTCTGTGACCAGTCACAAGCTAATCCCTCAGCTATTTCAATGCTAAATTCTCCCGTTTGATTTGTACCAGGTGCCTCTGTGGATGTGTAGGCTTTGACTTTAACATAGCCATTTCTGTGACCAGTCACAAGCTAATCCCTCAGCTATTTCAATGCTAAATTCTCCTGTTTGATTTGTACCAGGTGCCTCTGTGGATGTGTAGGCTTTGACTTTAACATAGCCATTTCTGTGACCAGTCACAAGCTAATCACTCAGCTATTTCAA